AAGTCCAGTCTCATGACTGGAAAAAGACCATAACCAGACTGGACCAAGACTGCAAAAAAACAGGCATGTGGTCCAGTCTTTTCATTTTTGAGAAGTAAAGACTGCAAAAAGGCTGGTCTAAATGAATTGGTTAGGACTGGCTTTTTGCAGCCCACTAAATACCCTTCCAAACACACTCAAGCACATATTAATTGGTTCAAAACTGACAAAGATATGATTGAAAATGTAAAATTTCACAGAAAATGGTAGATGTACCAGACCTTTTTTATAAAAACACCAATTCTTAATGGAATTTAACATTCTTGGGCTCTTTTTAAAGCTACAAATAATGTTAATAGATTTACTGATTCATAATTTTAAAATATTGGCCAAAAGACCAGTCTTAAACCAGTCAAAACCAAAGAAAGACCACAAAAAGACCACACTGTGGTTTTTTTTGGTCTGGCCTGGTCTTTTGACTTCTGGGACAAAGGCAGACCAGTCAAAGTTATGGTTAAAGCCCTGGGGCATCAACAAACCATACCAGACTGAACTTTTAAACACTAGCTGCAAAGAATCCCTAGCACCTTGCATACTTCACTCTAACCAAGGAAAGATTGAGGTTATATATTGTCAAGATATATTTATATTTTAGATATATATTTTTGGCATGTAAAATGCAACAGCCAGATCACAGCTTTGGCAGAGGGAACAATTTGGCTGGTGGGAGTGGGCTCTATCTTGATACCAAGACCTTGCCTCTCTAAAAAAAGCAAATTGGGAACCTTTGGACCAAATAGCTGAGGTCTTTGACTGACAGAGTATTTTGTGAACTGAGCAGCTGAGAAATCTATCTGTAATGTTTGTGGCCTAGAAAAATATCTATAGTGTCATTTGAAGTGGATAATACTAAAATAAAGCAAGTCAAGAATCTTGGACTGAATAGCTTCAAGGCAGCACAGTGCTGTCCAGGGGCAGTTCTAGATGTTTTCAAACAACAAAGTACTTTGTGAACTCTGAGCAGCTGCTGTATCCATTGTGTTATTTGAGGTTGATGATATGTAAGCAACTTAAGAGCCTTGGACTGAATAGCTTCAAGATAGCACTATCCAGGCATTTTCAACAACAAAGAACTTTGTGAACTCTGAACAGCTGTAAAACTGTAATGCAAACTGATTCATGATCTCCATCTGTCCATCAGATTGTGGGTGGTATGACATCGTCAGGGACTGTCTCATACCCATTAGTTGACAAATTTCTTTCCAAAAGTCTCCTCTCCACCTTGTATCCCTGTCTGATATGATTTGTCTTGGAATTCCAAATTTTGATATGATGTGCTTGAAGAACAATCTTGCAGTTTCTACTTTGGTGATCTTGGTTGTTGTGGGTATGAAGATTGTGTATTTGGTGAGTTTGTCAAATGATCACTAATACATTGTCGAATCCATTTGAAGTTGGTAACTCCAGAATGAAATCCATGCTGACAACTTCAAAGGGCTGCATTGGCATTGGGATGGACTGAAGTAAACCCACTGTGCTGTGTCGCCAGGGTTTTATCTTCTGACAAACATCACAGGTATTAACGAAAACCTTGATTTCTCTGGACATCCTAGGCCAATAGTAAGTACTACTGATCTGATTGTCGGTTTTGAAGTACCCTCCATGTGCAGCCTCGGTAATGGTGTTGTGTGCCTCCTGCATAATGTCGATGTGAAGCCCTTTAAATAGATAAGTCCTTCCTTGGAGACATGATATTGTGGAAACATGATGTTCATTCCTTCCTCTTTTTCTTTACTCATATGTACTAGTTTGAAGTGTGGATCCTTGATGTATGCATCCTTCCATTGCCAAATCTCCTGCTCATCTATCTGGATGATGGTGGAATACATTCATGGGGCATCACATTGGACAACAGGTTCCTTGCCTTCTCCTAATGGTAAGGTGATATTGAGACTCATGTTGTAGCGACCATTAGCAATTTTTCCTCAAACTTTGGTTTAAGTTCTTCATGCATTCCTTGTAAAGGATCCTCCACTGGTTTTAACTGTAATGGATCAAACTGTACATCCAGGGGACTACTCTGAGGCAGCATATGGCATCAGAGTTGAGAAATTGGGTCTACATTAGAGTGCACCCTTCTAGCCTGATAAACGATCTTCATATTTGGAAAAGGTGAGTAAACCAGTAATTGATCCTGTAAGTGGAGTTTAATTGATTACAACTGTCCACCTCCTAAGTCCTACTTGGAGTGCAACTAGCTGGTCAATGGGGGCGATTCCTTGCCTTTTGACCTGCCAGCGCACTCCTTATATACTCCAGTCTTTCATTTTCAAATGCATCAGTGTTTGATGCGTATGCGGAGTTAGCTGATGTAGCTATTCTTAGCTTGGCATGATCTCGCGTGTTTCTTTCTATGGCCCGGTTTACCGGTTTGACAGATGACATCACAAAATGATTAACATTCCCTGATGTGTTGATGTGCATGTGTACGCATTTACCAATAGTCTTCAGCCTTCCATCGTTTCCGAGTTTTTAATTAAAATGCCTTGTCTTGGCTTGTCTTTTCATTACGGAGGTCGGGAGACACTCCAAAGGTGTTTTCAAATGTCTTTCTTAATTGTCAGGGGGTTCTGTCTTTTTCTCATGTTTGTACTTGTGACATTCAGACACATCAGTCTTTGATGCGTACGCAGGAACTGCTGTACATGACTTTCTGAATGTCCGTGAGCCACGCTAAGTCTTTGTACATTTACTACCTAGGTGTAGTTTAGTCTTTCAATGTTTCAGACATGCCGTTTAAGCGTCTATGTCGTCTTTTCTGCATTTCTTGTATAAGCACGAGTTTTCACAATAAATCCATTATGTGTTTCTAAACCCTTTGGTAGTAATGCAATTCTTCTCCCTGTGTTGGGTGTTTACTCTAGAACCTCTTCATGCTCTATTTCATGGTAGGTGAATCTTAGATAGGATCCAAGTATAATGTCACGATGTGTACTGCTGCCAGTTCCAAAGCCTTGTCCTATTTTCAGATTCCACGTATTTGTATTTTTAGTCAACTGCGCCGGGTATGCACATTGACTCTTTGTATCATTGCAATTGTATGTAGTGTATTTATTAGAAATGACCTTTATCGGTAAAATCGTTAAAATTGAATTTTATACAGGTGAAATGGTTTCATCCATATCAGGGGAAAGAATGATGGTTGAACATTGAAGAAAGAAACACGAATCAAAATATCAACACATATTTGCTTGTTTGGCTAACCTTTGTTTATCCAAACAGAGTCAATAAACAAAGATTTGTTTCGTGAATACTTAATACTATTGCCTCACAATAACAACAGTGCGAATTGTTAAACCAATTCTAACTGATAGATAACATATTATAGACTACTCAACAAAAAAAACTAACTGAAAAGACTCCAGGAACATATCTTAATAAGTCTGTCAACATGAATGAACAATGAAAAAAAGAATTGGTTAATCAAAATAACCTAACTCTACCAGCCCTTATATATTTACAACAGAGCATCTAAATAGCATTATATACAACCTTGTGCTATGCATTTTCCTTAACACACAGAGCCTCTATCCCATATGCTGAATTTGTGCCAGGCATTCATTTGTTTGGCTGTGTTAGACAAAACTGCTGAGTATTGTATTCGCTTGGCCACAGACCACTGGTCCTCTTAAAAATAGTATCAGTAGATGCCAAGTTACTTCTTGATTATGATTCTAGCTTGTCTGAGCATTCAAGCTTCTTCCCCCATGTTTTGTAGCATAAACTTGTAAAATTATCTGATTATTTGCCTTTGTTTACCTGGCCCTTCCCACATGTTTCAGAAGTCTATTGCTGCAATAAAATTTACACAACCACCAATGCTTTTCTAATAGGCATAGATCAATGTGGGACACTTATACAATTCTAACAATACTAGATTTGTACATTCAAGCTTCTTCCCCCAGGGAGGGTCGCTGGGATCGAAGAAGACATTCGAAACATACGCTGTGGAAAGGAGTTCATTGAGGAAAGATTGGGGAAACTGGAGGGGTCTCAGACCACATGGCAAATCGTTCATAGTTTTTTCTGTCTTGGTAGACTTCGAAATATTTCACAAAGTTGAGTTTTCTTGGGTCAATGATGCCATGATTTGTGATGCATTGATGTGTGTGATGTGTCTTGCTACATGACTTCTTGGATCATGCTTCATAGCACGTGACCGAATGACTTCTCGCATCAGGTACACGTCGAGTTTCTACACTCACACATTTATCTTTAGAATTAATATCTTTTAATCCATAGTAAGGTGAGACCCTGGTTTGGTGTAAACTCCAACACCCAGTGTGGAGGTGTCTTGACTCTAGAACACACTATAGTGTACTATTTCATGGTAGTGTAGCTTTTTTATTAGACTTTGAGTATATTGAAGTGATTCATTCACAAACCAACCGCAATTCCTACTGCCCAAGGCATGCACATTTCTCAGATGTAGACTTTAATCAACTAGACCAGGTTGCATCTAATGATCCTTATGATCAATGTGACTGTATTTCTCTTATAGGAGGTTTTATAGGAGAAATTGCCAAAATTCGCATTTATGTGGGTGTACTGTTACACTCCATATCATCTCCCCCTCACTATGATACAGACTGTCCTCAGTCATCACTAGATCCCCATGTGAGGATGTTCCCCTCGTGTTTTTCTGGATTTTATATTGATATGTCTTCAAAAGATCACCATCTGTCAAGTGTGTCTTGTTACTATTACTAGTGCAGGCACATTATTCTTCGAAGACATGACATCATATTCCCATTGTTGCCTAGGTATGCCTCACTTGATTAACATTTTTGGCGTCCATTAAGATTTTCAGGGTCGACGGAACGGAGGGATTCTCAGGGATCTTCTCCCACAGACTCTACTTTGGAAAGTGCCTTGCTATTCCATGTGTTCCGTCTGACATTCCTATAAACTTTGTGGTTCATGGGGGTGGTTTTCACAATTTCTTTCTAACTTTCCCCACCATGCCTACTGCGTTCCTTGGTTGTTGCACCACCACTCAAGCATTTGAAATCAGCATCGACCTCTTCTCGCAATCCTGCCTCAATGATATGTCTGAGGCCGAGATTATTGCTATGTTATACTGGCTTCACAGTTACATGGTGCATTGTTGTGTTATTTTCTTTGGTTTTCTACTGATTTTGACTTTTCTTTTGCATTTAGTTGGCGCTCTTTGCAGACATTGTGCCAACAGACACCCACGCCAATGGACACCCACATCAATGGACCACCACCACATCAATGGATGGCGACCACAGCAATGGATGCCCACCCCCTTCCCCCATTTCATTGTCCCTGTCCCCTTCCTTTTCCCTGCCCCCTTCCCTGTCCCTCCCCATTTCTTTGTCCTTACCCCCTTATCCATCCCCTCTTCCTTGTCCTCTTTGATATGCACTGTATGTAGTAAAATAGACTCATGTCATTAATGATACATTAAATTTTGATCTATTGAGATGTATGACTTGACTAGATGTGAAATTTATAAGAAATTCTGAGTATTGAGGAGTTGAATCAATGCAGATTAAGTCACCTGACCTCTAGATCAGTGCTGATCCATTCTGATTGTAGATACTCTGATCAGAGCATGTGGGGGAGGGTAAAGTACTGCTATTTATGGTGGATTGTGGTGTCATTCAACTGGATTCTGCTGGATTCCACTGGATTCTGGTCCCATTCCACCGGAGTCCTGTCCCATTCCACCGGAATCTGCTGGAATGACTGGAGTCCGACAGGAATAGGTAGGGCAAAGTAAAGTACTGATCATGTGGGAAGCCATTGAAGTCCCCTTCAAATACTTGGTTCCCATTATGCCTTCTCAGGCTTGGGAATTCGTTGTTGCTTTTAAGGGGCCCCACAAGGCAAGAAGTTCAAGGTCATGGTCTTCAAGCCTAACATTTGCAGATGCTCTAATTTGGAGTTGGCCATGCATAGGAGGTGGGTGGATGTTGAGATCCCAAAAGTCATTTAGTGGTCATTTTTTCTAAAAAATTATGATATTCTGTGGGAGTGGGGCACTCAGCGGACACTCAATATATTGGGCATACATTTTTTTGATATGTTTTGGGCAGAATTCAACATTTTCATGAAATTATCAATTTGGACACAAGATTAGAGATAAAATTTGTGATTAATATATATCTTTCATCATATTGTAACAATGAGTTCCAAAATGTTCACCCTCCATAGGGGGGAATTTGTGATAAATATCAGGAATGGTGTTCCCCAGAGTGGGCTGGAATGGGATTCCAGTCCAATCCGTTTATTTTATTTATTTGTTACTGTATTATAGTTTATTTATTTTCAATGGATCACAAACAATGTTTGTTTGGTGAACATGCTCACCAAACATGGCCACTCTCTTCTTCCACCACCACCACCATGCTCGTCACCGCCGCCAACGCCACGCCATCACCGTCACCCATAGCCACCACCGCCAACGTCGCTCCTCAATCACCCATGGCCACCACGACCACCAACATCGACCACAACACCCTTCAACAACAACGCGGCGATGCCATGTCACAAAACAACCAGCGCCGTAACCCACGAAAACACCCAATGCCCATGAAAACAATGCCCCCGGACACAAAATGACACCCGACAGGCACAAAACAATGCCCACTGCCCACGTACACTGCCAGCGCCCACGAAAACCATACCCCACCCACGAAAACATCCCACTACCCACTGAAAAACACAAGCACCCACCGAAAAACACGTGCCACCCACTGAAAAACACGCGCTGCCCACTGAAAAACATGCACTGCCCACACAACACACGATGGCACCACACCGCCTACCAAAACCACCAGGTCCACACCAACGCCACCCACGACGACACCCCCAACGGCAACCAGTGCCCACGATGACGGCGACGACAACGCCCATGAATAACGCAAAAACACGGACACATGACGAACACGCAACAAGGAGACGACAACGAAATGCAACACAACAATGGGACACCAACACAGGACAACGATGGCCGAGGTCCCAGCCACACTCCCTCTCCCCTCCACCATTCCCTTCCTCCCTTCCCCCTTTCCTCCCTTCCCCCCTTTCCTCCCTCCCCCCTTTCCTCCCTCCCCCCTTTCCTCCCTCCCCCCTTTCCTCCCTCCCCCTTCCTTGTCCCTCCCCCTTCCTTCCTTCCCTCTTTCTTGTCCTTCCCCCTTCCTCCCTCCCCTCCCTTGTTCTTCCCCCTTCCTTGTCCCTCCCAAAAATATAAATACACCCCCACCTTGTCCCTCCCCTACCCCCTCCCTTTAATGACTCTATTCCTGCACGATTCCCCTGGAATTCCACTGCAATGACCCCATTCCTGCAGGAATAGGTGGGGCACTGTAAAGTACTGAATCCAAGGCATGTGGGTGTCCCTTAGGATTTGTTCCATGGGATTCCTCTAACTAAGGAACTCCCATCTAATTATTTCTGGTACACTGGGACTCCCAAGGATCAAAGTACCCAAGTTCCTCCACTGAACCGTCGAACTGGGAATTTCTCAGGGAGCTAATTGACGGTGTGAGAGGCCTATTTGCTAACACAACTGCCCCACTCAGTGCAGGCTTCACAACCGTCGACGCATTGACCCTACTGTCCAGTTCTAAAGCTCAGTTTGGTCCCCTAAAGGAGTTGTCATAAGTCACAAACAAAAATGAATAAGGAGAAAAAGTCAATTCAAGTGTATGAAAATGAACGATTGAAAACCGATCCTATAAAGATCGCTGATTGAAAAGTAGCCGGTGATGACGTCATACCTTGAGACCGTTTACAGTGAAGATGCTGGAGATGATGTCATCCAATCCAACAAGTCGTCCCTGACTTTTGCATTCTAGAAAAATAAAAGACACTAAAAAAATAAAAAGGAACTGTAAAAACTGGTGCACATGAAGAATAAAGAAATAAAGGAAGTACTGTGAGTAGAACACTCTGCACTTCCACAACCCTTTTCCTTGATTGTTATTTTTCTATTTTTAGACACTTTCTGTTTATTTTGGTCAGACTGCACAAGAGTATGTGTGTAGGTCTTGTGATTATTTGTAGCAGTTGAGAAGTTTCGGCTGAATTGGTGACAGGTGTTAAGACTGCAGCACAGTGACGACCCTCTTGATACAATCTGGCAAAATGGATGTTTGTTTTCAACTTGGGATGAGATGTGTGATGGTCTTTGATCCTTGTTGTAACCTTGGGGATGGATCCTGTGTTCGAAATGTGGAGAGCACCCACAAGGCTATCAACATCATCCCTTTTTTTATAAGTGGTCAGCAGCTTGTCAAAAACTTTGAAAACGATATCTTGAGCAACCTGCGCACTCTGAGAGAGAGTATCCACTGCTTTTTGCGCTTCCTTCTCCCTCTCAATGTGTTCCCTTTCCTGTCTTTCCTTTTCTTCCACATTGAACACCACTCTCATTTCAGGAAGTGTCAGGATATGGCCCTTGATTTTGGTGGAACCATGAGACTTCTTGGCTTGGACATTCTTGAGTTGTGTTTGCACATCACCTAATTCATGGTGTATAACCATACAGTGCACATTTGAAGCCTTGAGTTCAGCCATCTGCATCAAGAGTGACATTGACAGTCCATTGACTTGGTTTCAGAGATGTTGCACTTCCTGAACAAGTTCTTCATGTGTCTTCCTTTTGTCATCACAGATTGGAAGGTACTGGAGTGTGGGAAGTATTTTGATTGGTGTAAATGAAGAACAAGTTGTTGAAGTGGACACTTGTGTTGATTGGTCATCCGAAAGCTGAGCTCTTTACACTCCCCCACCTATTCCTACTGGACTCCTACTGCATTCACCCATGGCTGTAAGACTTTGCCATGAAATGTGGATTAATCTACCAAGGCCCTTGCCATCTAGATCAGATTAATGCACTGGTCATAGGCCATCTTTTTGTGGATTTACCCATGACACCTAAAGAAACAGGCATCCCAGGGTACCACAAAATAGCTGTATTTGCAACTGTTTATTCTGAAGCCTGCAATATTTTTTCCTCCTTCAATTGCAGCCAAAATAGCTGGATGCGACATATCCATTTCAGGGCCTTTTGATGCCTTTGGTACACAATTGTCAACAATGCATGGTTTTAATTCTGAGGACATATATATGTCCTACAGCTTTGTTCATTGTAAAAGCAACCTCTGAAACCTAACCAAATATATACTTGATAATGTTTTGACATTCCTAGATAGTTTCCTCTCTCAAATCTGACTGAAATAAGCTGGATGCGACAAACCCTTTTTGGATGACTTTGGGGCATTAGATGCTCTTGGTACATAAATGTAAACAACATTGAAAAAAGGGTAGCTACTCTACCACATGACAGAGAGGTAGACCAAAGCAATAGTAAGAAGCTAATCAAGAATCTAATGATATACATTTTAAAAAATAATGGGTACATCAGGTCTCAATGACCTCAAAAAAGAAACAGTGCCCCTGCCCTCCTCCAGCAATCGGTGCCATCCCGTATCCACTATTCAGGGCATTCAGTAGAGGGTTTATATTATCAGATGCCCTAACAATTTTTCTATGAGTCGCGCGAGGAGGCGGTTGGGATACTGTCTCTGTTCTTAACGGAAACCTTTGCACTACTGCTGTTGCAGGTTGCTTAGCTTTTCGTTTAGGTGGAGGTGGTAAACCTGACGATTCCCCTGCTTTAATAGAATTCGCTGTTTGTCTGATTTTTGGTGCCGTGGTGAACGGCTCTGCACTAGTATTTAAATTGCTTCAAACGCTAGCGGTTTTTTAATTTAAACTTTTCGTTTAAATAAATGATCCTGTAGATCACTAAACTTTCAAGTCTTTGCTTTATCAAAAACAAAAGGAGACCCTCATGGTGGGCTCCAGATGATACGCGTTGCACAGGATGACTGTGAAAGTGTGAAACACACGAACAAGGATCAAGCGCATTGGGAAAACCCTAAACACCTAAACACTCACACACACACACACACACACACACTATCACAATCTCAGTGCACGAGTTCGAGGGCCTTTGGTATTAAGAAATACCACTTTTGTCTTCTTAGGTTTAAGTCTCAAGAGATTTCGTCTCAAAACGGGTTTTTATTGTAAGGTGTGGTTTAGAATAGTTCAATAGAACAAAGTATGTCTTTCTGGGAACTTGGTCTCTTAAATGCAAAGTTCTTTGATCACAGTTTCTTTTATTAACACAAAACACAACTTCAATTGACTTTTATGACTCCCGTGAGTTTATCATGTCACCACGCTCCAAAAACCAAGGGTACGAGTACGCTGTCTCGTCTAAATGATACTGTGTTTTTAAAACTTCTTATTCAAAAGTCTCCAAGTAAGTTGACTCCCAAGCACGCTGGCTTCGTTCACACTGTACTTTTCTGATCACGAAGAAATCTCCTTTAATTGATTACAACTGTCCACCTCCTAAGTTCCTACTTGGAGTGCAACTAGCTGGTCAACAGGGGGGCGATTGCTTGCCTTTTGACCTGCCAGCGCGCTCCTTATATACTCCAGGAACCCCTATCTACGTTTTACATGTGTTTTAATGCAGGATACTTCGGTCCGAATTACAAATATGAAATTTAATGAACGTGTGGTATATTTTGTAGTCTATCTCTGTGAACACTACAGATTTTGTAGTGTCGCATCTTTCATTTTCAAACGCATCAGTGTTTGATGCGTACGTGGAGTTAGCCGACGTAGCTATTCTTAGCTTGGCATGATCTCACATGTTTCTTTCTATGGCCTGGTTTACCGGTTTGACAGATGACATCACAAAATGATTAATGTTTCCTGATGCGTTGATGTGCATGCGTACGCGTTTACCAATAGTCTTTGGCCTTCCGTCGCTTCCGAGTTTTTAATTAAAATGCCTTGTCTTGGCTCGTCTTCTCATTACGGAGGTCGGGAGACACTCCAAAGGTGTTTTCAAATGTCTTTCTTAATTGTCAGGGGGTTCTGTCTTTTTCTCATGTTTGTACTTGTGACGTTCAGACACATCAGTCTTTGATGCATACACGGGAACTGCCATACATGACTTTCTGAATGGCTGTGAGCCACGCTAAGTCTTTGTATGTTTACTACCTAGGTGTAGTTTAGTCTTTCAATGTTTCAGACATGCTGTTTAAGTGTCTATGTCGTCTTTTCTGTATTTCTTGTATAAGCACGAGTTTTCACAATAAATCCATTATGTGTTTCTAAACCCTTTGGTAGTAATGCAATTCTTCTCCCTGTGTTGGGTGTTTACTCTAGAACCTCTTCGTGCTCTATTAGGCTTAGTAAGATGAACAGTCATATGTTCGAGAAGATACTTACAGCACTTGTCGTTCAGGCTTGAAGAAGGGCAAAGGAAAGGCCAACGCTGTTGTGGAAGGTGAGTAGTTATTGAGGGTATCACATTGATGGGGGCCTGACCACTGGGCAAAGAAGTAAATGTGACTGCAACGACTACGAGCGACACCACAACCTGGCTTAATACCCTCGACAAAGCCCACCATGAGAATGGTCCAGATGAGCACTCTCAGGATGATGCTCCAGATGGCCGCACTCCTACCCAGTGCTTGTTCACAAGGCTCTTTTGGGACTCAGATGACAATGTGGAAGATTACACTGCACCATTGTCACCAATGCCTATCGCCGGACCTACCAAGAAGACTAAATTAGATTCATAGGCGCCGGTTGCCTCGACATCTAGGAAACTGAAAAATGATTAGGTGGGTCATGTAGAGAGATATCGAGTATCTTTTGGACACAACTAATCAATAGAGTTAGGGAACCGAAACAAGGAGAATGGCCGTAGTGTGGCCATGGCAGTTGAGAGGGTAAGCAGATGTAGGGTGTTGAGGTGTTAGATGGGTGTTGAACGTTGAGGTGATAGACGCGTGTTACAAAAGGTCACGACCCTGTTGAGTGATACCAACTTGTGCACCCAAGATATTTGTAGGTTTGTCCCAGTATACTCTCCAAGCTCGTGAGCGAACCCATGGGCCACAGAGGCATTGACACTGGCACCACCACCTGCAACCAATGTGGCCCTTTGCGTTGAAGATGGAAGCCGTTCGAAAGGAGCAAGCCAGACCTGCACATGCAGCCAACTGCGTATGAGGCAGCCACATCTAGCAAAGTAAGTTCCTCAGTTCTTTACCAATCCCATTGATCTTGGGCTTAAAAGAATCGCTTAGGGACACTTAAACTTCAGCCCCAAAGACAAGAGGTCGTGGTTGGCTTGTTCCTTCGCTAAATGCTGTTTTGGGTGGAAGGGGAGGAGAGGGCATCTAGCAAGGTAACTTCCTCAGTTCTTTACCAATCCCATTGATCTCAGGCTTAAAAGAATTGCTTAGAGACACTTAAACTTCAGCCCCAAAGACAAGAGGCCGTGCTTGGCCTGTTCCTTCGCTAAATGCTGTTTTGGGTGTGTGGGGGATGAGAGAGCATCTAGCAAGGTAAGTTACGCAGTTCTTTACCAATCCCATTGATCTTAGGCTTAAAAGAATCGCTTAGAGATGCTTAAATATCAGCCCCAAAGACAAGAGGCCATGCTTGGCCCATTCCTTCGCTAAAAGCTGTTTTGGGTGTGTGGGGGAGGAGAGGGCATCTAGCAAGGCAACTTCCTCAGTTCTTTACCAATCCCATTGATCTCAGGCTTAAAAGAATCACTTAGAGACACTTAAACTTCAGCCCCAAAGACAAGAGGCTGTGCTTGGTCCGTTCCTTCACTAAAAGTATGGAATCCATCGAAAAAAAAGTATGGAATCCATCTGAAAAAAGTATGGAATCCATCAGCCATTCCATGGAATCCATCTGGGGGAAGTATGGATTCCATCTAGTCCATATGGAATGACCCAGGGAGGGTAAAGTACTGACTATTATGCCCATGTCCACCACACCATCTTCAGGCATGTTGATGCCCTCCACCAAAAGCTCCCTTACTCTCGTGACATCAGACCCCACCTCACCTGCAGAGAACCCTTCAACTTACCATTGATTCCCCATTGTCCCTCACAGGAAACCAGCCAGTCCAAGCCTCTCATGTTGCAGGAACACATTACACTGATCATGTCAGTGCCCATCACTATGTGCACCTTCATCAGTGAACCTAACAATGACATTCAGCCAGGGGAATTTCTCAAAACCCTCCATCACTTTTTTACATCACTAACCTGCAGTGTAGGACTTTTTGAACTCTCAGAAAAATAAGCAAATTGTTTCTTCCTCATCATCCAGTTCCTCCCCCAATTGTTGCAGCAGAAAGGCTTCCTTGAGATTCATACTGGGGAGAATGAAGATGAGTCTGTTATTAATCTAATCTCATCTATCTTGCAAGCTTACGGTTTAATCATCACAATAGATTATTATGATAAATTATTGTTCAATCTCTGACAACAATTTGAAATTGGATATATTAAATGAAAAACCTTATGGAAAGTCATCCAGTAGTAATGCAATTCTTCTCCCTGCATTGGGTGTTTACTCTAGGGCCTCTTTGTGCTCTATTTCATGGTAGGTGAATCTTAGACAGGATCCAAATATAATTTCATGATGCATACTGCTGCCAGTTCCAAAGCATTTGTCCTATTTTCAGATTCCACACATTACGAGTCCTCTGAGTTTACGAAGAGACTCGTTTATTACCCTTGATCTCAAGGAATTTTTCAGTGTTCTAACGCTGAACTTTGCCTTTCTCCCATGAAAATTTAGCCTTTTGTAGTCTTCTATGTTCAGGGTTTCAGGGTTTCAGGCACTCTAGCTATTTATAGGCTTCTGTCATCATTTTCGTAGTTGATAGTATCTGGTGATGGTGTGAACTCTCATTCAATATTGTAGTTTTGTGTAGATGGTATCTAGTAAATTGCAGTTTTTCTTGTTGTGAGAACTTACTATGTAATACATTGTACTACAGTGCATGTAATTAAATTGCCTGCAAATTTAAAAGATTATTGCATTTTACTTGATGTAATTTGGAGTAGATATAGCAGAGTTGCAGTATTTTCTGTCAGAATCACTGGTAGAACCTGGGTGATGTGACACCATTTATGTAATATATATTTCTACATTTTATGTAATCAGACTGCAGGGAATTTTACCTTTTTTTCTCCCTTTCATTTTATGTAATTTGGAGTAAATCTGATAGAGTTACAGTATTTTCTTCCAGACTCGCTCATATGACCTGGAATGATGACATAAGCGATGATGTGCATGTAAGCTCGTCTGAGCCATAGCTGGGGCTCAGGCGAGCTTACATGCACGTCATTGCTTAGTCATGGTTGAACGAAATTCACAGTTTAAAATGGAATACATGGAATGGAATGGAATACATGGAATGGAATGGAATACATGGAATGGAATGGAAAGTAAGTAGTTTCTCAAGCAGTCAGTGGCCACCAAAGAGTTGCTCACCCCTTGCTTAGCACCTCCATCCCCATCACTGACTCCAAGGAATACCTATTCATGGTCTGTGGGGGCACTGATCCCCTGGCCTTTGCCGGTGTTCAAGAGGCAGTATGTCAAGCTTTAGAGTCATCAGAACAGATACCTGGCAAGGAATGTTGGCATATCACATAGTTAGGGGCAAACACATCCAGGAGTAATTGACCAAAAGGCCTCTGAGGTGGAGACTTTGGAGTTCTGTTAATGCTCTGCCCCATAGGTATAACAAACTCTAGCCATCCTAGCAGCATGGGTGCCATGTCTCCATTCCTATTATGCCAACCACCTGCAGCAGCTTTTGGACCATGACAAAATCCTCCATCGAACCTTCAAAAATAGTGTCTTTGCTGCCTGCTGCTTTAACTTTGCCAAAGAACCATCTGCTACTGCCACAAAGACCATGCCAACCTGCTCTATGGCCTCTGTGCTCTCACTTCCCTAGGCCACTTTGACCCTCAAAAAGGAGGCCACTTGGTTCCTTGGGAACTTCAGCTGGTGATAGAATTTCTGCCAGACTCAACAATTCTCCTCCCCTCATCCATCATCACACACTCCAACACTCCCATCCAGCAGGGAGAAACATGCTATTCTTTTACACAGTACACCACTGAGGGTACCATCTGTTGGGTAAAAGATGGCTTTCAGACTGCAATGGATTTTTTCAATCAGCTTTTGGAGCAGGACTTAGAAGCAGAGAGGACTGAGGCATCACAGAGGCTGTCAATGGGTTTGTCTCTTTTCTGTAAGCTTGAAGAGCTTGATTGTATATGATGAGCCTTAATGGGGCTTGATCCCTGGTCAAAAGCCAGTCTGCTGAGATTATCTGGGAAGTGTTGACATAAGATGCAATCAAAGCTGTTCACAAGTGCAGACCTTGCCCAAAAAGTGAGAATATTTCTGCTTATATCTGCTGCTGTAGGACTGTGTTCAACTTTCACCAACAGCTGAGGGTTCCTACTCCTTACAGTATTACACATCACTCATCCTGACAAACAGAAATTGCCATTTGTAAGGTTCTTGTTCCATCATGGAAAGTAAAACTAATTCATTACTGTAGTCTGGAGAATGCACACGCAAATTTTAGCCACCATCACCAAAATGCACATCACTGAATGGGTGTCACTCTCACCTTCCATATCCATCCCCTCCACACTCATCATGCCTCCCACTGCCATGAGTGCCCTGCCATCTCCTACCTCACCTTCATCCACCAAGTCACATAAGTCAAAGTCGCTTGAATCGAAACCCAGCATGCAGATGATGGAGGAAATCAACACACATATGTCACCTCATACAATAAAATCACCAAAGTACACTTGTACCACTCTCTATGCAGGTCCATCTGCACAATCTCTTTGGTAGGGGTGAAACACCATATGAATATTTATATGCCATGGTAAGCACTGTATAAAACCATGGTTCAACGTGTTTTTAGGGATGAGGATACTGACCACATTCCTCAAGTCTCTCCACTTACCCAATCTGTCAACCTCTCCCACCCATCAAGGCAATCTCCTGAGACTAAGGCAATCTAGAACCTTCTGTCAGGTAACTATTTTTAGTGCCATCTATCAGCTATTCATGCCCCTTCTTCTTCACTAAGCTGAACCACCTCTAACAAAATTTCTCAGAAAGCTCCAATCCATCCACAGACCCCCCACCTTGCCATCCTGATTGGGACTTTATTCGTCTACTGACATTCTTCTGGATGCCTTCAACTTGAATCAGAACATGGATGTATGGGCATTTATTTCTTGGATAAATGAGGCAACAAAGCCAAGCAGCAAAATTCTAAAGGCTCACCTTCTGGCAATGTGGGTGCAGGCAAAAATTGTATCCCTAATTATTTTGTATGTGGTGCCCATTTCTCCCTTTTTTTCAGCAATTTTATCACTTCAGTCACCCACTGACAACTGGCCATTAGTCTTTGCAAACACCATGAATACTACAGGACTAAATGTTAGTGTGTATATCTATATTGTATATATCCTGGGGCTTGTATATCTCCACTTTTACCTAAATATATTTTGATGTCCACTGTCACACCAAATATATTTCCTCACTGGGATGGACTCCAAATATATTTCTTATGCCTGGACCCTGAATTGTGACTGTCACATTGTAGAAATCCAGTATATGCTTTGATGTATGCATTATTTCCTAATTGGGCCATTTCCTAATTTGGAAAAGTGTTACACTTTTTTGTGCCACACCTAATGTCAGGCACAACACAAGAGTTAGTGGTAGCTGAGTGTTGTCATTGTTAATGACAATGTGTGCAATACTTTACCATCCCCCACGCAATCCACATGGACTTCACTGGACCTCACTATATATTGAGACTTCACTACATACTGTCACAAAACTGGACTCCACTAGACTCCAGTGGACTGGAGACTGGACTATCCAACACTCAACTGGACTGGGCTGGACTCCCACTGAACTGGAGACTATCTAACACAAACTGGACTGGGCTTGCTGTACTCAACCCAAAACTGGACTCCACTGGACTGGACTGGACTGGCAACTGTGTCTTACACAAAACTGGACTCCACTGGACTGCCAACTGTATCCAACACAAAACTGGACTAGACTGGACTCCACTGCTGCATCCAACACAAAACTGGACTCCACTGGACTGACTGCTGTACTCAACACAAAGCTGGACTGGACTGGACTCTACTGGACTGCCAACTGTATCCAACACAAAACTGGACTGGACTGGACTCCACTGGACTCCCAACTCTGTCAACCATATTCAATACAAAATTGGATTTCTCCGGACTCCATTACACTGTTATCTGTATTTAACAACAAAGCTGGACTAGCTAAATTAGTGTTCGCAAGTTCAGTTCAGTCCGGTTTTTTGCCCCCAAAACGCGCAACCGTGGACCGCAACCGGTCTAGGACCGACCCAGATATTGAGGGAACCGAACCGAACCACCTAGGACCGGTCTATTTCGGTCTATGGAGCCGGTTCAGACCGATCCAGACCGGTTTTTTTGCGTATAATTTATTATACCAATATAAACCATTTGTATCTTGACTATTATTACTCTGAAAAATAAACGGGCTATATGAAATAGTAAAGCATGTAAATACCCGTCATTCTACCAATTTTGAAGAGATTTAATGAAGATTTGACATAGCTATGACTGAAACCGAATTACATCTCGTAGAGACTCGGGTAAAATATGGATTTGGTTATATCTTTCTCAATTCTTAACCGTTTTTGATGAAACAAAAACCCAATAAAAGGTAATAAACGTGGTTACAAGGCTATGTAACGCACGTGACCGTTTAACCGGTTGCAACCAATTAAAACCGGTCTTTGAACGGTTTTAAAAGATTTTCGAAATGAGGCAACCGGCAACCGGACCAACCCCAAATTGGGGCAACTGCAACCGAAAAAAAGACCGGACCATGGTCCGGTTCAGTTCGGTCCACCGGTTTTTTGCGGTCCTATGGACTGAACCTTTAAACACTAAGCTAAATACATGGAACTGATTTGTCAGTAACTGCTTCTACTAAATATATACTTAATCTGAAAGATGCATACCATGATCACTGCTATTTGTAGAATCACTTTCCTCATTGCTTTCTTCCTCATTGCTGTCCTTGTCACTGCTTTTCTCATCACTGCCCTCCTCATCACTGCTTTCTTCATTACTGCTTTCCTCATCACTGTTTTCTTCATCTGTTGATCCATCACCCTTCATAGATGCCATTTTGGCAAGGACATGCTTGACATGGTAAATGAGCATAGTATGTATAAACCAATTGAAGTTTTTTGATGTACTTTCAACAGCTGTCTTGAAGACTTGACATGCTTTATCAATGCATATATAAGCAGGTCGATCCTCCTTGTTAGGAAATATTTCATCAAGCCAATTAAAAATATTAGTTGGAGATTCAGATTTTGGAAATTTGGTCCATGCAATGACAACTCCACATGGTGCACATGCTGTTTCAACACAATATGAAAGATTAGGTGAGAAGTACATCTTTTGCTTTATGGATGGTTGAGGATTTTCAGCCTCATTTGCATCAACCTCATCATCATGTGGCTGTTGAATAGCAGCATCAGGAATATTTTGCCATTCTTGACGTTCACCAGGATGTTGAAGAACAGGTCGAATACCATTAATAGTAGCTTTACTGCGATCTTGAACACTTTTCTTCCAGTCAGCCACATGTTCTTTACAAGCTTGTGTTCCTTGTATTTTATCATTAGAACAGCCAACCATGCGACATTTATTTGCAAGTAAAGCTTCATGTGTTGCACAGAGTGCACCACCATGAGCATTAAGAAGGTCATTAGTGCAATTGTCAAAAGCACAAATCTAAGCAGGGGATCAATATAATTAAAATCAAATCAATTATGTAAACAAACCTGTGGACCCATAACAACACCATCCAAAGTCAACATATTAACATCAAGTGTATCTGGAATACGCTCTGTATCCCGCACTGTTCGTTTGAATGGCTTAGTGCAATCAGAGCAAGTATGTTCTCTTGCACCTGGTATTTCACCATTCTTACCAAGAACAGCAAAGGCATGCTGAGTCAGGTCATCAATAGCAATATTAGGTTGAGTTTCAAATGTAGTATTTGAAGTTGAAGCCACATCTCTAACAGAATGCTGTCCAATATGTCAGGAGTTACATGAGGCAGTTTCACACTCCATGTCAATAGGACAGATTATTTGTATGGGCTCAATAGCCTTTTGAGAAACTTTCTGCAACTTTTTATTGAAAATACCTTGTTTATAAGGTGTGAGTCCAAGAAGCTCTGAAAATGCATCAAGGTTAAGAGCCAGTGCAGTTTCCCATGAATTTTGCACAAATTCATTCAATTGAAAAAGCATTGAGAGATCTGAATCAAGTCGTTCATTTAATGCGCGGCCCAGTGATTTCATCCAACTTGATGCAATAATTTTCTTTTCATTTAGGACTTTTGGATGTTTCTGACAAGCATGTAAATTAAGCAAGTCTGGGTTTTCCACTAAAGAGAAAAAGACAAGCAGAACAGTTTCAAGTGAGATTTCAGGGTTAAATGTTGTCAAAATGAATTGACTAAAAGCCTGGAATGGGATATCAGGGAGTGGTGTTGTTGAGCCTGTGGCCAATACACCAGGGACAAATGCAAACCACATAATCAGCCAGATTACAGGTGATGCACTTTAGTCACCCACTGACCACTGACTATTAGTCATGTAATTTTGGTATATATTACATGACTAATAGCAGTACTGTATTTATTTATTGTACTGAATATATCCAGAATCTTTACTGTATCTATTTCCTTAAAATGTCACAAAATCAGCTGTCACACTATTGAATCTATTTTTTTGCACTAAATAAATCTTTTTGGTGCCAAGACTCTGAATTAAATATATTTCATGGTTTCACTACTGAATCTATTTTTTTTGCACTAAATAAATCTTTTTTGATGCCAAGACTCTGAAACAAATATATTTCATGGTTTCACTACTGAATAAATCCTTTTGGTTAACATGTCACAAACTTGCCTGTCACACCACTGAATACATTTTGGCTCTAGATAGACTACTCGAGGTGTCTGGGGTCCTAGTTCCAAAGAAAAGTGTGTTATGATTTTTCACTAGTAGAGGTATTATTGATAAATTTCTTTTTGTTTGTAAATGCTTTCCTGGGGCTGTAGGGTCCTACTGTTTTCAGGATCCACTGCCCATTGCCAAATATGGAAGATGTGGCTATGTTAAATGAAAAATAGCAATAAAATACAGGGAACAATGATGAGTTTAGGGTGTTGCTCACTGTTGGTGATGATGTTGGGGGCGGTTTTCAGGGTCCAGGGCACATTTCCAAATACGGAAACATGCGCTTTTTCACATGTAAAATAGTAATAAAGTCAGGAAAAATTAGGGGTGGTGCTCACTGTTGGGGACAATGTTGGAGGTTGTTTTCAGGGTCGAGGGTGCATTTCCAAATATGGTAATATAGCTAAAAAATAGCCACAAAATAACCAAAAAATCAGAAAAAAATGGGGGTGGTGCTTTCTGTTGGTGATGACATCTGGGGAAAAAGATATGAATGGTGCACAGAACATCAGGCACTGCCTTCAGGGTCCATCCCAAAGAGGAAACATCACCTGGTTTGACCAAAAGTGAAGAAAACCAACAGGAGAATGTTTTTATCTATCAGGGTCCATGTAATGGGATGTTGGGATGTTGGTCACATGACCAATTACCAAAAATGGTGAAAACGAAAGTTGTAGCCCTACATTGTAGCTTCCCGAATCTATTTGAATTATATTCTGAAGTGCTCCTGTTATGGAGATATGAGGTAAAGGAATTTCAAAAGTGTCATGTTTTCTTTTGTTTTTTGTGTTTTTCTCCATGAAAACAAAACCAAACAACATGATTTCAGCATATTTAGAAAGCTAAGAGAAAGGGCTACAATTATTGTATCATGGGGAAAATGGCCAAAAAAGGAAGGTGCATACCCTAGAAAAGAAATTGACACTGACAGTGCTCCTGTTATGGAGATATGAGGTAAAGGAATTTCAAAAGGGTCATGTTTTTTTTTCTTTTTCTTTACATATTGCTATTGCCACATCACTACATTTTGACATCATGACCAAGTGACCTTTCACATCAGGACAGGCTACTCTCTTACTAGTCTGTTTGCGTTCACACATGACTAACCCTAAGCCAACTTGGGCATGATGTGAAAAAGTGATAATAAGGCAAATGAAATATGTGAGGTCATGTCAATCCTTCAGCCATATCCCCGTGAGCTTATAATTATGTTTTGAAATAGGACAGTAGGTATCAATATGAAGGCCTAGGCTAGCCTTTCCTAATGTAAAAGACTGCTTGTGCATAATGTCAAAAACTAATGCAGCAGAACTGGAAATATGTAAGTAAGATCATGTTAATCCTTCAACCTCATCCCCATAACCTAGACAGAGCCAAGGACACCATAAACTACATGTCAACTACAAACTTTTGTGGTCTCAAAAAGCAGACACTACAAACTTTACTAATGAAAAAGTGCACACTACAAACTTTTGTAGTGTCAAAAAGCGGACACTACTAACTTTTCTAATGAAAAAGCACACACTTTGTAGTCAAAAAAAGTGGGAACTACAAACTTTCCAAATGGAAAAGTGCACACCAAACTTTTGTAGTCCCAAAAGGCAGACACTACAAACCCTTCTAAGGAAAAAATAAACACTACACAAAATGTATTCAGTGGTGTGACAGGCAAGTTTGTGACATGTTAACCAAAAAGATTTATTCAGTAGTGAAACCATGAAATATATTTGTTTCAGAGTCTTGGCATCAAAAAAGATTTATTTAGTGCAAAAAAATAGATTCAGTAGTGAAACCATGAAATATATTTAACTCAGAGTCTTGGCACCAAAAAGATTTATTTAGTGCAAAAAAATAGATTCAATAGTGTGACAGCTGATTTTATGACATTTTAAGGAAATAGATACAGTAAAGATTCTGGATATATTCAGTACAATAAATAAATACAATACTACTCTTAGTCATGTAATATATACTGAAATTACATGACTAATAGTCAGTGGTCAGTGGGTGACTGAAGTGACCTCTTCACCTTCCTCTTCACTCACATCCCCATCCTCACCAAAAACCTGGTTCCCTCAGATCCATCACTGGAAAACTGAAAAACAAAAACAAAACATTGAAATGTCAAAACATGTGATGCCATGTGCTTACACAAAGCTTCTGAAGCTTTTTCTGCACATTATGCAGAACCTTGATAGCTGACTGTTGTTGATCCAGGAAGCAGAAGATCTGAACATCCATGTAGGCATATAAAGTGTCTCTGACATGCAACAGGTTCTTCACTTCCATTTTAATGGACTTTCCAAGCCAATCTTGTATAATTGGTATCTAAAGATGCATTTAGTGTGAAAACGATAACCATATGTGCACCCACATAGGTCTCTTTTTCCAACTGTGATTTCCAGGCAGCCATCCACTCACTGGTTTGCCTTCTGACTTTCCTTTCTGACAGATAATCAGCCAGATGATGATCAGATATCATCTGAACAGCTTCATGGTCTATTGGGATGAGAACAGGAGTGCAAGACATATCTGAAGATCAAGCAGTACTTTATTGTGCCCTACCTATTCCTGTCAGACTCTGGTCATTCCTGTGGATTCCGGTGGAATGGGACCAGACTCCGCCGGAGTCTGCAGGAATGGGACCAGAATCCAGTGGAATCCACCGGAGTCCTGTCCCATTCCACCGGAATCCACACGAATAAGATCACAATCCACCATAAATAGATACAACAGATACAATTTTTCTCTTTTCTACATACATTTACACTAGTATACACTTCTGCACACTTCTCTTTACTGTAGTACCCTAATATACACTTCTGCACACACTAAGATTGCACATTTCTCTTCACTGTTATTAGTTACAAACTCCAGCCTAGTTGTGGCATTTGCTGTTCTTTGTATGTTTACGCCACTGTGGTTGGTGCTGTTGACATGCAAGTGTTCTTTCTACTCTTCAGGTATTACAGTCACGGACCAACCATTGAGTAGCAAGCATTATGTGATGTATATCACATAGAGATCCACCACAAGAGTTAGAGAGGTCATTAGTGCAATTCTCATATGCACAGTGCTAGAAAAAATCATTGTGAACAAACAAACTCCATGAACAAAATGTAAAAGTCATTTACCTGAGGACCCATAACTATACCATCAAGAACAACCATTTTTATGTTTGGGATATTATCAGTATCCATCTCATTATCTGAAGTGACCTGAGGTGCATCAACTTCCATTTCTTCAGGAGCTGCTGCCAAAGCAGGAATATCATCATCTGTGGCATCAACACCAACAACTGCTGCTGGATTATTGAAAACCACATCACTTGTATCTTTGTGTTTTTGAGTACATTCATCACATGCATGTCCTTCTGAAGCTCTGATGACTCCATCTTCCCCCAAGAGTGAAAATGCCTGAGTAGTAACTTCTTTGATATTCAATCCATCATCAAATTCAGCATCAATTCCAGATTCTTCAGCAATTGTGCGAGCAGATTGTGAGCTTGTGAAATTGAAATTTCGTTTGTTCCATATGTATTATTCCAGTACTCTGAGAAAGCAGATGCTGAAGCATGAAAGTTATACATAGCATTTATAGCTGCCATTGCAAATCCACGATCAGTCCAGATTGATTGGCCAATTTTTAAATATTTGGCTGAGTTAAGATAGACTTGTTTCAAGGTATTTTGTTTATAACCCCCCTTCTCATCAAATGTTGATAGTTTCAAGCAGCCAGCCAGCTTGTCAAGCTTTCCAGCAAGAAGATCAACTTTTGCCTTTTCATCTGGCTCTCGTGCAAGTTCATTTTCAGAGAATAAAGTTTCAACCCTCTTCTTTCCAAGTTTGTTTACCAGTGCATTGCTCAATGCAATTATCCATCCTGAAATCTGCACTTTGTTTTCATCACCACAAATCCATTGTTGTTGATGAAAATGAAGATTTAATAAATCGGGATTCTCAAATAGTGTGAATGAGATTGTGAGAACAGTTGCCAAAGAAATATTAGAGCCAAAGATTGTCTGGATTGCATCACTAAATATGCTGAATGGAATATTTGGAAAAGGACATTGCCCTGAAGAGGTAGCAGATGCCAATGAAACTAGATTTGACCAGATCAATAGCCAGATTAAAATCCAGTGCTGGGATACAAGTGATATAGCTGATGACAAGAGCAGAAAAGTAAATCTGAAAAGGAAACTAGAACTATTGTACAAATTAGTATTTCTTCTTTCATTTACACTCCAAACACATCAAAAAGAAAAGAAAGAAAATCATACAACAACAATAATATATTATATTACCTTCAGCCAAGGGCTCATGGTGGTTGGAACCAGACTTGGCCTGACGATGGCCTCTTGGTGGGCCAAATCGGATGACCTCCTGCTCCTCACCTCTTTCATCACCATCACTGCCCTCATCACCATCTTCCTCATCACTCTTCTCATCACTTGTTTCTTCATGTGCAGCAGTAACCGCAGGCTCACGATTGATACGAGAACGACTACTGGAAACAGTGGGGGCAGGGGGGAGGAAAGAAGAAGTAGATGAGTGACCAGTACACTTTGGAGGTGCAACAGATGTGCCAGAAGCTTCAAGAGCTTGTTCAACACTATCAATATAATATAATAAATATTAATCACATAAAAATAAAAGAAAGAAGCTCACAGTGTCAGACTGGCTGGGACACCCTTATCATCCTAAACCTTGTCCCTGGCTGCTCGCTGGGCACCTGTCATCCTGAACAGATTGATTAATATGCAAGTACTGGTATCAGAAAGGCTACACACCTTGCTTTTTTCCCCTTCTTGCCACCAGTCTTTCCCTTGCCCTTCCCAACCTCTGGTTCTCCCTCATTACTCTCCTCACCATCACTCTTGGTGTTGGCCTTGACACACTTGGATTTTTTTGCCTCAGTGTTAGACTGGCCACGTTTCTGGCCTTGTTTGGGAGGAGAATTCACCCTAGCTTGTAAGGAACAAAGCTCTCTTGCACTCATGATGGAAGAGAGCAAGGTTAGAAGGTAAAAAGTGAAGTGGGACAGCAAGAACAAAGGATGAGGGGAAGAAAGATGTGGGGGGAAGGAAAGAAAGATGTGAGAGGAAAGAATGGCCACCAGACCTTTAGGGTTGAGGGTTTGAAACTTCCATTTTGGGTAAATTTAGAATGCTACGAAAAATCTACACCAAGTGCTACAAAACTCTACATTACATACTATACTCAAGGCAGCTAGTTGTAATGTTAAAAAGAGAAGGGGGCATCGTTGTTTGGTCCAGTTGTGTAAAAAAGCGAAGAGGGGAGGGACATTCATGCTCATGGTGCACACTCACAGGGTTCGTGGATGTGGGCGCGCATGGGCATTGTTGTTTAGTCCAGTCGTGGTGTAAAAAAGTGAAGGGGGGAGGGATGTTGGCGCTCATGGGAGTTGTGGGTGTTTGGTTGATGTGGGCGTGCTCATGGAGGTCGTGGATGTGGGGGATGGGGGTACATGGAAATAGGGAGGGGCAGGGATGGGATGGTAGAGGAAGGGGGAAGGGAGCAAGGGGAAGGGACAAGGAATGGGGGAGGAAGGGTGAATGGACAAGGAAGGGGGGAGGAAAGGTGAATGGAGGGACAACTTGTCGTTGGGTGGAGGCGTGGACGTCGTTGCATTTGCGTGGACACGTCGTCCCATTGTCAAGGGCGCTGGGCATCATTTTGTGGGCGCTGGCGGTGTACGTGGGCGCTGGGCAC